ACTCAGTATGGAGCACAGTAAAACCCAAGCATTAAATAACTTCCCTAAACAGGGCTGCCTTCAGATGTCTTCCAAAACCCAGAGAATTGTTTATTTCCTTGACATCTGATGGGATGGTGCTCCACAGGGCAGGAGTGACTACTGAGAAGTCCCTCTCCCTTGTTTCCCGTAACCGCAATGAGTGAACTTCCAGAAGGACCTTGGAGCTAGATCTCATGATATGGGTGGAGACTCTTCTTCAGATATACAGGGTCAAAGCCAGAGGTGTGAGTCGTGCACCTAGGGAACCACCAATGAGGGAAATCACCCCCTCTCCCTGCCAAAAGTCTCTGCCAATATAATATGGGATCAGGAAGTCCCTGAGATGTTCTGGACCCAAGTTGTTAAGGAACCAAGTTAGTTTGTTCTTCTATTTGGAAAGTCCCAATTTCATCATTGTTATGGTCAACAGATGCATTTTCAAAAAATGGAAGTTAATATTTATTCATTTATATATTACATTTCTTTCCTGCCATTCCTCCTAAAGGGACAACAAACGCATTGGCGTTGAAACAGTGCAAAATTAAGCTTATTTATTTACCTGGGCTTATTTATTTCAAACACACCCTCTTTCCTTCAATATTAAGAATCAGTTTTAGCTTCAAAAGGATTTCATTAGAACACTAGCTGTTGCCATGTGTGTCTCAATTATCTGGCTCCCAGCCTTTTCACCCCCATTGGGGCCTGCCCTGCCCCCACACTCTCTCAAGGCTCTTCAAAGGCCATTAGTCCCCGCCTTAAGAGAGTTTCTGTCAGTCTGGATGCCTTGTAAGGAGAAGGGAGCAAAAGGCACAGCGGGTGAGAACCAGGTGTGAGGACTCTCCTAGTATTGCCTGTGAATTGCATAGGCAAAGAGATTACCTGTGGAAAGAGGAGGGAGTGTTTATTGTATCTCTAATTGGGATGGAGAATTTCGGATGCCAGGAGGCAGCTGTGTGGAATGATGGTTCCAAAGTCAAAAAGGGATTGGAACATTCTTGGATCTTAAGAGACTGTAGCAGATTTCACACTGGAACCCTGCACAAATTGTCAACCAAACATTTTTGATGAAGTAAGGCCATTGCCTTTAAGGTATCAGGGCACAATGCGTTTTTCTTGCAGCCTTCCTTAACCCATGCTGCAAAGGCTGCAATCCCATGCAGGCTAACTTGAGAAGCCAGCCCTACTGAACACATTGGGATTTACTTCTGAGTAAACAGGGTGTTCTTGGACAGTGTTCTCGAAGCTACCAGCATGAGTTTGACCAAACTGCGGGAGGCAGTGGAAGACAGGAGTGCCTGGCGTGCTCTGGTCCATGGGGTCACGAAGAGTCGGACACGACTAAACAACAACAAACAGGGAGAGGATGGGGGGTTAGAAAGAAATGGCTGCAATCCATTTACCTGAGAGTAAAGCCCATGGAATTTTATTTATGTTTTTTAATTGTACCTGAAGTCTGCTCTTCGCCTAATGTCCCAGGGCCAGCTTACCAACCAACCAACCAACCAATCAAATAAAAATTCAAAGATAAATCTGAAAACGAAATCACAAAATTCTGAAGCTCTCTTTTGAAACAGTCAGAAAACGATTGCATCAATTTCTTCGTATCAATTTGGTTAGGTTCCACCAGCCCCTTTGAAAGTTTCCAAAAAGTCTGTCTCTTTATATTTTGGAAACAGTGGTAGTGTATCAGCCTGCAATAAGTAGAACACATCTTGACAGTGGGAGTAAAGGGTGTACATCTCAAGCATGTTTTAACTGAGCTGCTTGAAGTAGGGTAAAAGGGGTGGAGCAAGTAAAGAAACTAAACCTTAGTTAAACTAGGCCCCAGTTTGAATCTCACCTCTGCTCTAATCTCACTAGATGGCACTCTCTTTTGCTTAGCCTCCTGTCTGCATAATGAATGGGGTGACGAATCAACCTTACAGGATGGTTGCAAGGATTATGTATTTGAAAGACTTTGAAGGCTTTAAAGTGCTCAGTAGAATTGAGACTGACTTTTACCTTAGGATCTGGCTGTAAAACAGTTTCACCTTTTATTTTATTTCTTTCGTTATTTATAAAATATTTACATACAGCTTGGAATATGCAGAAACGGTGAAACTTACCAGAAGAATAAGAAATCAAGATTAAAAAAATAAAATAAAATAATGGAAATGGTTTATTGAATATTTACAGATAAATTATAAACAGATAAAAACTTTGGCAGGATCATTGTAACAACCTGCAGTTTTATAAGAGTATATATTTAAAGAAGATGAATAAATGAGTAAATTAAGTTAATTTGGATATGCAGAAGATACTTTTTTAAAAAAAAACAAGGGACCACAGAAAGAGGGGGAGGTAAGTCAAGTTTTGAAATGTCAAAATGAATGTAAAATTAATGAAATGTATACACTTGTAAAGTATAAATAAATAAATAAAATGGGAAAAAAATATTTACATCCAGCTAGTCATAAAAAAAAAATCAGAGCGGTTTACAACAATTATACATGAAACCATACTATAGAAGCCATATAAAATATGTATTCTTAATTGCCTGCATAAGCCTCACGGAACAGAAAAGTTTCAGCAGGCATTTAAAGTTGAACCTTCCCCCTGCTCTGCACATAGACTCCCCTCGAAAAATGAGTAGTCTAGTGCAAAATAGGCTGAGAATGTCTGGAGGCGATATCTCTGTTCTTTTAATTGGGAGCATGTGTAATGTTTAGATGGCAGGCAGACTGTGACTCAGAGACCAATTTCATATGTCAGCGGTCATTCCGCTGGTGGTCATTTAGTAGAATCATTCATCTATTTTCAGGTTTCACCTGTTGCTTTTATTGTTGTGTTTTACTGAATTGATCTGTTATTTTCTGCACTATCCTGAAATCTTAATATGGTTGAGGGGAGTATATAAATGTTCAGGGGCAAACCTCGTGGTTGGTTAGGTTGCCACCGCTGCCGCCCCCCCCCCCCGGGGTACTGGTCGGGGCAGGGTGGATGGCAGCGCAGAAATCTCGCCTCATGCCTCTCCACTTTTTCAGTTTCTGGTCCATGTTCTCACCTGGCTTCAGAGGCGCCACTACAATTCCTGGCCAAGGGTGCAAAGGAGCCTCAGTTCTTCTGTTAAGAAGCAGTTTCCTTTCACTGGCAACTGGGGGGGGGGGCTGGGTATTTAATATTGTGAAGGCTGTGACGGCTTTGCTCCACACCCAATTCAACGACAACAGCTGACGACTAACCTTTGGGAGACCAGGCAAGGCCTCATCCTGATTAGGGGCTATTGTATATGGCTATCTTCCTGATCTTCAACTTAAGCTGCAACAGCAGCTTAATTGCTCTTTCTGCCCTGTGCCTCCTTGTTCCCGGTGCTCACAGAACAGGCTTTACGATCTTCTTTTTGAAATGTGTTTGTTTGTTTTTGACACTCCTCCAAGGACTCAAGGCAGGATACAATGCACCCTTATCTCGTTTTCTTCTTCACACAATAGCAGCCCGAGAGATAGTGACTTATCTAAAGACAGCCAATGAGTTTTCATAGGTAAGCACTTACTTGATCCCTGGTTCCCATGCCCACGCTATGTCCACACTATGCTAGGGTGGCCATCTGCCCTGCTTTACAGAGGAATGGTCCTCTGTTGAAAGGTCGTTTCAAGGCCTGCCCAGTCCAAATCTGGTTTAAAGACTAAAAAAGCCTATCAGAAAGTACAACTGGGATCTTGGAGCTGCCCTTCAACATTGAAAGCAGCTGGGCAGCAGACATGCAGGTCCTGGTCTTCCCCACTATGGCAAGATGTGTTGTATTCATATTTAAATAATAGTAATTAATTTTAAATATGTAGGGGCTGCCTCAAATCAGGGTGAAGATCAAATTAGAGTCCATAAGGACATTGTCATGAGTTCGGCCTTCCAGGCCAAGCTGCAATACTGTACATGGCTAAACTTAAATTATCATCTTATTTATGAGCAAGAAAAGGTCTGAGGCACATGGTCAAATCTGATCAGCTATACACCTGAATAAGTTGTCTAAAAAAAACAAAACCCAAACTAAGGTCTGCTGAATAACAACCTCACTGGAGTTTCCCTCCACAAGCTTCTCAAAAGAGTTGTCTTTCGTTTTTTTATGCACTGTCCACTGCCCTTCTGTCAGGGTTAGGCTTCTCTTATGGAAATAATCACGTTTTCCCAGAACCCAAATTATAATGTTTGGAGGCTGTCTGCAGGCAGCACATCTTTGTTGTGTGAACCACACACACAAACACACACATGTAGGCTTGCAACAACAAGGCTAACACTTGTGGGAAGTGGCTGCCTTTAGAATAGAGTGGTACCTCTGGTTACGAAACGCTTCGGGTTACAAACTCCACTAACCCGGAAGTAGCTGCTCCTGGTTGCAAAACTTTGCCCCAGGATGCGAGCGGAAGTTGCGCGCCGGCAGCAGCAGGAGACCCCATTAACGAAAACTCACCTCAGGATAAGAACGGTTTCAGCTTAATAACAGACCTCCAGAAAGAATTAAGTTTGTAACCAGAGGTACCACTGTAACAGATCGTGCATGGTAAGTGCCATTACTTCTCCCTGGTAAGTGACCAGAGAGAAGATAATGGCATTCGACAAAGCAAATTTATGTATATATTGTTACTATCCACAGCACCTCCACCTAATAAGGATTCAGTTTCAATTTGTTGGCCCTCGTCCAGCCTATCACTGACTCTACACACTGGCCTGGCTTCCCTGATTCAGATGCAAGTGAATTACAGAGTGGGTGTCATCTGCATATTGATGAAGCCACACTCCAAACCCCCAGCACCACCCAGCAGTTTCATAGAAGCATTTAATAATACAAGATAGGGACGTGGGTGGCACTGAGGTCTAAACCGCTGAGCCTAATGGGCTTGCCAATCAGAAGGTCAGCGGCTTGAATCCTTGCGATGGGGTGTGCTCCCATTGCTCTGTCCCAGCTCCTGCCAGCCTAGTAGTTTGAAAGCACACCAGTGCAAGTAGATAAATAGGTACCACTGTGATGGGAAGGTAAATGGCATTTCTGTGAGCTCTGACTTCTATCAAAGTGTTCTGTAGTGCCAGAAGCAGTTTAGTCATGCTGGCCACATGACCCAGAAAGCTGTCTGTGGACAAACACCAGCTCACTCGGCCTGACAACGGAGATGAGCACAGCACTCCATAGTCGAATTTGACTGGACTTAACCATCCAGGAGTCCTTTACCAGTGTGGTGTAGTGGTTAAGAGCGGTAGACTCATAATCTGGTGAACTGGGTTCACGTCCCCGCTCCTCCACATGCAGCTGCTGGGTGACCTTGGGCTAGTCCAGGGGTCTGCAACCTTTAAGACAAAAAGAGCCACTTGGACCCGTTTTCGAAGAAAAAACAACAGCTGGGAGCCGCAAAACAAGCCAAATGTAAATAACCACACATTCTTCCCCTTCCCCCATTCTCTCTCTTTTCCCTGAGTCTATTTCAGATAGCAAAGAGGGGAATGGTACCTCTCATATCCATTTTTTGCAAAGCACCATGTGCATAGAGGGCATTATACAAATTAATACATAGAAAAGTGTCTGTCCCTCCCTGCAGTTCAACTCCCTCTCTTTTTACTAAAAGCACATATCCATTCCTTCTGCTGGTGCAACTTTCTCATCATTTCTACATAGCAGCATTTATAAACCAGTGCCAGAGAAACTGGGTGAAAGGAAGGTGAGAGGGAAGAGATATGAATATTTATGTGTGTATATGTATACATACATACACCTACACAATTACAGGTTTGAAGCCAACTTAAAATAAAAAGAGCTGGTAAGCAAAGGAATCTGTGGTGCTTTCCATGGGACCAGGGGACATGTCAGCTAATACTCTTCCCTTTCTTCTTCATTTGCTTGTCTCTGCAGCAAATCTCGAGGGGGAAGGGAGAAGGGCAGGAATTGTATAGGCACGAGAGAACGGGGAAATCCCGCATGCAGGATTTTGGTGCCTAACAGCTCCCCCTCCCTCTGCAATTGCTCTCGTGCTCCCCCGCCTCTCCTGCTGGCTACCTCTGGACCCCCTCCTCCCTCAACTCGGCGGCCACTCAGAAGCAAGGCACAGAAAAGGATCCCGAAGCACCACCGCCACCCCCCCCTCTCTCTCTCTCTCTCTCACACACACACACACACCCCACCCCGCCATTTCCCTCGAGCGTGTGTGCGCTCTCTCCCTCACCTCAGGTGCCTCACGTGCGGGGCTGAGGAGAGCGTGGCCTGGGTGGGCGGCTCTCAACGTCAAGCGGCGCAGCGCGCGGGGCCTGAGGGCGGGCGGGCTGCTGCGACCGACGGCGAAAGGGAGCGCGCCTGCTTGTGGACGCGCCCGTGTGTGGCAGGTGCCAGCGGTGGCAGTGGCAACAGTGTCCACCTGAAGGGAGAACCGCCGCTGCGCCCTGGCGCGCCTTCCTGCCGCCGCCCTCCTCCTCTTCTTCTTCGCTCCCTGCACCATGAGGGAAGAGGCGCCCCGGAGCCGCAGCAAAGGTTTAAAGGAGCCACATGCGGCTCCGGAGCCGCAGGTTGCCGACCTCTGGGCTAGTCACACTTCTCTGAAGTCTCTCAGCCCCTCTCACCTCACAGAGAGTTTGTTGTGGGGGAGGAAGGGAAAGGAGATTGTTAGCCGCTTTGAGACTCCTTAGGGTAGTGATAAAGCGGGATATCAAATCCAAACTACTACTACTACTACTACTACTACTACTACTCTTCTTCTTCTTCTTCTTCTTCTTCTTCTTCTTCTTCTTCTTCTTCTTCTTCTGTACAAGATGAAGCCCCACAGTGCACCACAGCATAAATGCTATGAGGCTAAGCAGAAAATCTCCAATGCTATTCTCTGGTAATGGTCCTATTGATAGAAACAGAGCCACCGTAACACAGTGCCCCCAATTCCTACGCCAGGAGGATATTATGGTCAGTGGTATGAAACATAGCCAAGAGGTCCAACAGACTCAAGTGGGTACCATTCTGTCTGTCACTCTCCCAAATATAATCAACCAGGGTGACCAAGGCTGTTTCAATGCTATATTCAAATCTGAAGCCAAGCTGAAATGGGTGCAGATAATCTGCTATATCCAGGGATAGCAGCCACCACACAATCACCCTGCCCAGTAAGTGATTATTGCAACTGGGTGGTAGTTATCTAAAACCTCAGGTTCTGGGGAGACCATCTTCAGGAGGGGATGCACCACTGTGTCCTTTAATGCCGTGGGCATCTTCTCCTCCATAAGTGAGGCATTAAGTGCTCCCTATCCATCTCTGCTTAAACAGCAAAGAGAGAGTGCAATGGGCCTGATCCCTTCCAGGGTCCTGTCCCTCCTCAGGCAGCAACAACTGATCTCACAAACTTCAAGCAGACAGTGCTCTAAGCACCTTCACAGGACTTGCATTAACTGTGGAAGTAAGTGAAATGTGGATACGAGTAATTTTGCTGATTGCCGTCAAAGGCTGCTTTGCTATGGTTATCTGCTTTCTCTTCAGGGCTGGATTTCAACAGCCCATTCACCACTTGGAAAAGCAACATTGGGCAGTCCACTGAGAAGGCATACGGTGTACAAAGACAGCCCCATGGTTATCATGTCCTGAGGCAGAGCAGAAAATTGGCCCTGACACAGATCTTGGTCCATGTCACAAACAACCTAGAGAGAACCTCTGCTACTTCAGACACAGGGAGGCTGCGTCAAGAAATGGGGTGGGTGCTACATCACCAACACCCCAGGCTGCTCTGTAGCTCAGCCCCTCTGGTACAGATTCTCATATCCAGTTCCCAGACAGGCTTCCTGGTGAGAAATTAGTTTCCCATGCATACAGGTTTAGATCTGAGCTGCCGATAACCTGTCATTTCAAGTTAGTTCGTCACTCGGGGTCAGAAATATGCATAAATATTGACCGTCAACCACCAAACTATCCTGTTTAGCCTGCTTCTCCGTTATGCCGAAATTCTTCCATTGCGTATAGGAGGGGCCAATGCAAGGTTTAAACTTAGAGAGACCTACAAAATTGTAGTGATGGGGCAGTAAAGAAGCAAACTTCCTCATACCGAGGTGCTGTGCATTATACGCTTGGCCAAATGCATTTGGATGCCCTGAAATGGGGGTCACAGTTCTGCACCTTTTCACACTGCCACCACGTACCCTTCTCTCTGTTGCCATAATTTACGAATGAACCCGTGTTCCTCCCAACTTCTTTCTCTTTCCTGATTCTTTTCCAGTTGGGCTTCACCCAGATAAGGGGACAGAGATAAGCACAGGCAGTTACTAAGATGTGTGTGATTTTCCTCCTTCAGCAGAATGGAGGGCAGTAATAGTTGAGGGACTGTCCTGAAACCACCTAGTCCAGGGTTTATCCCTAACTGATGCCATTCTGGCTGGGGCTGGTAGGAGTTGGATCCCAATAACATCTGGAAGGTCACAGATTCCCCCAAACCTGATCAACAGGGTAGGCTGCAAAGTGACAGAAGCAATAAAGCTCCAATGAACTTACGGTCTGTATCCTATTGGTTCACAGTTCTCACATGAATTTCTGATAAAGTATTTGGGGCAGTATACAACTACCACATCCTGTTGGTGCCTTATTTCCGCTTGCTCAACAGGACACCCCCCCCCTACACACGTCCTGCATCCTCCCTCAAACACTGCGCATGCCAGTTATTTATTTCCCAGTTAATTTATTTCCCATGGGATTGGCAAATATTTAGAAATGAGACACCAAGAGGGAAATGCTCAGCATCTTGAAGATCAAAGTAGAATCTTTTGATCAGGAACAGGTTTCTCTTCTTTCTCTGTAACGATATGCTAACGGGGCTCAGCCATAAGGAAGTGATGTATTTCACACCAGCTCTTCTGATGGCTGAAGAGGCACTCTAGGACCTTGAGCTATCCCTGCCTCTCTCCTTTTTACCTGTTTTTGTGCTCATGTATATTCCATCTGGCACATGGCCCCTTAGAAAGAAACAGGAGACCAACTCCTGAAGGTGAGACCTAGCTGGAAGGGTTTGTTGCAGAATCCTAGGCCTCATTCTTTTGTAATTCATATATCTATACACACACAATATACCGTATATATATATATATATTAAAGCTTAATTTACCATTAACTCTGTCAGTAATGTGTTCATACATAAACAGCAAAAGGCAAGACATCCACCAGCGTAGTCCTGAGTGGGGAATCTGATGCCCTCCTAACATTGTTGTCCCAATACCCCTGACCATTCCAGTGACCCTGCTTTTGTATCTGTTTTGCCACATTGAGCCAACCAACGTGTTTTGGCTTTCCCTGTGTCTCACTTGCTACCCTTAAAAACCTTGGCTGCACTTCAAGGAATATCCAAGCCCAGCCCAGTTGACAGCTTGGAGGCCTTCAGTCCCTAGGAGCCTGCCTGGCCGCTGAGGCAGCATGTAATGAAATTACTGCAGTGAAAACTGATGGCTCCTTTCTAATTGTCCCATGCCTAGGAGGAGTTTGTACTCCATTTTTCTTTAATCAAAATCCCCTAACCTACTTATTTAATATTTAAACTACAGTGGGATCTCCAACAGTAACTTTCAATGTATCTTACTGCCTTTCCGTGGTGTAGGATTTTCCACAAATACAGTGGTACCTCGGGTTAAGAACTTAATTTGTTCCAGAGGTCCATTCTTAACCTGAAACTGTTCTTAACCTGAGGTACCACTTTAGCTAATGGAGCCACCCCCTGCCGCACGATTTCTGTTCTCATCCTGAAGCAAAATTCTTAACCTGAGGTACTATTTCTGGGTTAGCGGAGTCTGTAACCTGAAGCGTCTGTAACCTGAGGTACCACTGTAATGCACTGTGACTGTGCTGTTTTGTTCTCTTGTCTCCATTTCAGTACGTTTCTGTTTTTCTGTAGTCCCAAAATGCTCCTTGATTCCGTAGTCCCAAAACACCTGTTTGTTTATCCTTTGATGCATTTGCAGATCTCTCCTCAAACTTGTGCTTCTGAGAATGGAGATCTCACATTTTCTAAGTGCTCCATGTGCAATATTTTGTAGCTGGAAAAATTAGTGGTTCCCCCCCCCTCCATTCATGGGAAAGGCTATTGCAGAGGTAGCCAAAGTGTCAGTGGGGGTGGTGTCCTCTGTGTACAACCTCCCCCCCCCCCCCCCGCAACACATAAAGTTTTATTTATTTTTAAATTGGACATTTCACCACACTCCCTCTTTCCTGTGTGGGAGTGCACATCTCACCATGGAAAAAAGGGAAAAGAAAGGGCTAAACAAAGGCACCATCTAGTTACTCCATTGTCATTGAGATTTGAGGTGGGGAAGGAGCTGAGACACAGGCGAAAATGTGATCAGGGCACCCTTTGCCCCACTGCACTGAAAGGCCCCAAGGAAGGGAGAGTTATTTTGCTCAGTAGATCAATGTAAATTCTGAAGCAGGGTTGTTTGTGGTCACCTGCTAATGGCATAAAGCCTGAGAAAAGTTTGACCCTGTTTCTCTACAAAATAAAGAACCCATACACACCCCAGCTGAGGAAAGGACACAGTGGCAATATCACTAGTTGGTGCTAAGTATGGGCTATTGTTGCCTTTAGCACAGGATGTCTGGTTCTCTTGATGACACACTCCTGCTAATTATGCATTTTGTCTTGTTGTTTTTCTTTATTACCCTGTCTCTACATTCTCTGTAAGCTACCCCCAATATCTATTAATGTTCCAGAGCTCCTGTTGCTCACAGCTTCACTCTGTAACAGTTAGTTAAATGCAGCTCAAGGTAGCTGATAAGACTTTAACAAAAAACATTCCTCCATGGTATATTTCCCTTCATCAGTCATTTATTTGCATACTGTCACACACACTCTCTTACATGGTCTCATCTGTGGTGTTATTTGTCTCGTGAAGAGAAGATACAAAACTGTGGCATACTTCTAGTGGGGGATGGCTCCCATTGTGACTGGTAGCGTGGAGGGCAGAGAGGACAACGGTCCTGGAAGCATAAAATTGCAGAGTTGGAAGGGCTCCTGAGGGGTCATCTAGTCCAACTCCCTGCAATGGAACCTGTACCAGGGTGGGCAGAGAGTTCTCCTTCACGGATAGTCTTCAAACAGAGGCTAGACCGAGATGCTCTCTAGCTCTGCATTTCTGCACTAACCAGAAAATTGGACAATATTATATACAAGGGCCCCTTCTGCATTATTCTGCAGTGTTTCCATTTGAAAATAGATGTGGGCGGTCCTGGCTATGGAGGGTGTATCTGCATCTGTGCAATGACGTAGTTATACCAAGATAACAATCACCACTTCCTCCTTTCTTTATCTGGGGCATGTGCAGGGAGGGAAAAGGCATGGATAATCAAATCAAGGGCAAGGTTTTCAAATGCACATCAAGTGACTACATCCACCCATCCTTGTGGATGATCTAGTATAAACCTAGGTTGAAAACATCATGTTGAGTTTGGACATGAATGATTCCAAACTGAGAAAACTTTGTGTTTGTGCTTCAAATGGGATAGTGTATATGCAGCCTAAGTCACTGGGATTTGTGCACTAGTGGAAGAAAACTGGCCTGCTGCAAAGGGATTGCACGAAACCTGCAAGGGAGAGGCCTTTGTATTGAAATCCAAACTTGCTAGGTTGGTTTGTTGTTTTTTAAAACCATACTGCAATTATGGAACAGTGTTGTTGCAAACATTGCACAAATAATTCACCGCCAGTACAGTTTCGCTGTTGACAATAAACTACGCTGACAATAAACTACGCTGGCTATTCATGGCTGGTTCCATCCCTTCATTAGTGTAACAGCAAAAGAAGGGAGTAGCTGGACATATGGAGGAACGCATGCTTTTCAAAAGGCTGCTTTTTGACACTGTGCAGCTCCTCACATTCAAAGAGCTCCTAGGTATATAAACAGGGGATATGTTAGTAGATAGGTATGAAAAATTTCCAGCACTTACCCATTCCCAACCTTCTCTCTCTTTCTGTTTGCAGTGCAGGTCCTGGTAGATGGGGCACCACTTCGTATCCAGCTGTGGGACACTGCAGGACAGGTGAGACTCATAAATTAAAGGAGAATACAGGTTTGAGTTCTGATGGGGTGCCAAGAATGTCAGGAAGAAGGTGGTGAAAATCTGGGTCAAAGTGAAATTATGAGTGGCATTAATAATTGCTCTTGTACAGCACATTTCAAGTTCTAAAGATGTTTCAGATACATCACCCCTGTAATCCTTACTACAGACTTACTAGGCCAATCTTACCAAATTAAGAAAAAGCCCTGCTGGATCTGGCCAAAGATCCATTTAGTCCAGCATCCTGTTCTCACAGTGGCCAGAGGCCTGTCAGAAGCCTACAAGCAGGACCTAAACACAACCAAACTCTCCTTGTGATTCGCCGGAACTGGTATTCAGAGACATACTGCCTCAGACAGTGAAACACAGCCTGTACCGCAGCTGAGGGTATGCAGTATTGTCACCTGATGAGTTTGTGTTTGAGGTAACATTAGAACTGAGGGCTCCAGGAATTGAAATCTACTTAAGCCTCCACAGCCAGGGTACTGAAAAATATGGGGCACCTCTGTATAGAAGTGCAGCCCTTGCTAGAGAAGCTTCCCAGGTGTTAATTGGAACAACTAGCTTTTTTTGCTTGGCCGAGATCCCTCTTTGTAGTGGACCTTAAAGTCTCTCTCTTTTACATGGGCCAAGCTGAGCTCCCTCTTGTTATGAGACTGGCTGAGCTACCAAGTTGTCTTTGTTTCCCTTTGGTTACACTTGGAAAGCTCAAACTGTATTGCTTTGAGAAGGTTTGCTGGGACAAAGGATGAAAACGTATGCTTTAGAGCAGGGGTCAGCAAGGTTTAGCTTGCCTGGGCTGGATCGGTCCCGCGGAGATCCCTCTGTGGGCTGGATTGCGTGCGCCCGCGATTTTTGACATCTGTGCATGTGCAGATGTGATTTCCGGCACCACAGAAGCAAGTTCCTGTGCTGGTTTAGCGCAGCGCGTGAGCAGGTAACTCAGTTTGGGGGCAGCTCGGGGGCCAGTCAAATGACCTCCGCAGGCCACTTCCGGCCCATGGGCCTTAGGTTGCTGATCCCTGCTTTAGAGCTTTGCGGAAAAGACAGCATTACTACATTTTATGAGAACCCTCTAGCTTATCAGCCACAGCTAGTTTCTGCCGGTATGCATCGCAAACCAAATTCAACATCTATTTTTCCTCTGCAGGAAGACTTTGATTGCCTCCGTTCACTCTGTTACGCTGAGACAGATGTCTTCCTGGTCTGCTTCAGTGTTGTAAATCCCACATCCTTCCAGAACATTATGGAGAAATGGATCCCTGAAATACGGACACACAATCCCCAGACTCCCGTGGTGCTGGTGGGAACACAGTCAGATCTGCGGGACGACGTCAATGTGTTGATCAATCTGGACCACTATCATGCCGGGCCTGTGCCAAGAACTCAGGCTGAAGGCCTGGCTGAGAAAATCCGGGCTCAGACGTACATCGAGTGCTCTGCTCTGACTCAAAAGAACCTGAAGGAGGTTTTTGACACAGCCATCATCAGCGCAGTTGAGCACAAGGCCCAACAGGAAAAGAAAATGACAGCCAAGGGAATAAAAACTCTCTCCAAGTGCCGGTGGAAGAAGTTCTTCTGTTTTGTCTGAAGCTGGTTTGGGAATGAAGAGGCCTAGAAGTCGGGATTGGACTTTGCACTTTCTGCCACAGACGGCAAAGTGGCTAACTGAATGAAAAAGTGGCTCCAACAAGGAGCCAAGGGGACCTGGAGCCCCAGGATTTGCTGAGTTGGGATAGAACTTTCCTGGAAGACAGGAAGTGGACTTGTGTAGTAGTGCCAGGATACCAAATGGCTCATGCAATCTCAATAGAACCGGGGTGGTTTGAAGCTTCTTGTACTGAGTTCAGTATTAAAGAAGAGCCAAGCCTGTCATTTTAGATACCCAGACAGCATGAGCAGTTTCCAGAACCTCCTCACAGCATCTTATTTAAACCCAGGAGAAGCCGATGCAGTGGGGTGGTGCCAGGCCGCTGCTCCCCCCCCCCAACAATGGCATTTCTGCTTATTGGGGCAAGGGCAGGGCTGCAGGGCCAGACTGACAGGAGCACCGAGTGCTGGTGTGCCCTCACAGCCTTGTCCTTCCCACAGCCCTGCCCCATAATTTGAAGTGGTCCCTTTTTCAGCCAAGCAGCAGCCCTCCACCTCACGGGATTAAACCTGAGATATATTCTTGAGGCTGATATCTCCTTTTCAAGGCACAGGCAAGGATAGAGGGATTTCTCCTGGGAGACAACAATGTCAAATAACATGGCCTGCTCAAGGAAAAAGTATTTTTTATACTTTGCTTTCAGTCCTGCTTCAGGAAGCGGAATAAGTTATCCAGACAGCAGGGGGTTTGTATGAAGGAGTATCAGTTGTGTGGCACATCCTTAAAAGGACAAAGCATTTTTTGCGAAATGACACGGAATGATCCCTATGCTTCCACAAAGCTATTCCAATACAGTACATCATTTTGGACCTCATTGGACTTTTTTTTTATAAAAAAAAAGGTCCACCAAAAATGTATTTAAGGTTTTTGGTAGGGTAGGGAACCTTCCAGCATCTAAATGTGAATATTTCCCTCTTAAGAAGGACCGGGTGCATTTGAAAGAAAATTTCACTGTTGTGTGAAACAAATATTGTAAAAGTGAGAAGATAAAATAGGAGGGAAATGACAAGAAAGGAGAAGCATGTGACAAGAAGGGCAGAGAGGTGGTAGGGATGAAGGAGAAGAAGAGAGAGAGAGAGACAGAGGCAGACAGAGATACAGAGGGAGTTTAAGGAAGGTGAAAGGGAGGCGTAAAGGAGCATTTCCCAGTGTAGTGCCCTCCAGATGTTTGAACTTCCAGGTCCCATCAGCACAGCTGGCTGAGGCTGGTGGAAGTTGTACCAGGCTGGCATAGAGAAACCAAGAGACAGGAGAGTATGTCGCCATGGGATTTAGATAATGTTGGCAGAGGGTTGTGTTTTTTTGCACTAAGAAACCCTTCAGTGACCTCACCTCTTGATGGTTAGTCATACCTCAGATTCAAATGAAGGAAGATGCAATAGGGGAATTGTCATGGAAATAAGATCTTTGATGTGCTGTACTAAAAGCAAGGAGAGAGACTGCCGTTCTTCCTGTATCAGGAAAAAACTGGCTTTGCGACCTATGGGTGGAGCGTGAGAGCCAGAAATTCTGGCAGCCCTGGAGTAGGAGAGATCCCACCTCTGGATAAGGATCCAAATGCAAGCCTGGACCTTTGTATAAGAGGTGAGAGTGCCTGCAAATTGTTCAGCACAGAAAAAGAAGTGGCACTGTGTCACTAAATACACAAGTGTTTTGGAATTCACCAGTTTCTTAAATGCCAGGCTTCGGAAAATGTGAATGAGAAGCAGGAACCTGAGTGGCTTTGCTTATTCAATTGATGTCTCCACAGGCAGAAAACAGCGTCCAGATCAGGGATTGATCATCACATGCGGTAATCATGCGCATTTCCTTTTTGCTACGTGTGGATACACTGGGAAGCTCAGCCATGACTTTCCAGCATTTGTACGCCTTGTGTGATGATCAGCGCACAGTTTGCATGTTGGAAATGTGCTGTGTTTGAAGCAGGTCTTGATCATCGCTATTCTCGAGTTGCACGGCACACTTTTGCTGCACAAGTGGAAAACGTTGCATGTTGGGTCTTTATGCATTTCCATTGTACACGGGGGGAGGTCCTGGAATGAGGTTGGACATCATGGCAGCCCTGTGTTGAGGACTGAATCTTAAAGGCAGTGCCAACACCAGGAGTTCAAAGGAAATAGGCATGCTTCCCTTTTCCTGCAGTACTAGGGAAGGATGCATGGGTGTTGTCAGTTCATGTTTGTAGCATTGGAGGGATTCCAAGGAGTTCTTCCTGGGAAAGAAAGGATCCTCAATCCTGTTCCCATTGCCCTAGGGACTGTGTATCATACACCTTTTGTTTTGTTTCCAAATAAAGATGTTTTGTTTAAGTATGAATGCGGTTCTGTGAATTATTTGCATTGGTGGGAAATACCTTCACAGATTAAATGGAAACGAATTCAAGGTAGCGAAAGCCTGGTACGATGAATAAGAGTCACAGAACATTTTCTTCCCACAGAAGTAGCAAGACACAAGTTGCAAAATGTCAGGTGAATTTTGGCAATCCAAATTAAACTGGGCAAATCGGACTCCTCAGCCTTAATCACATGTGTGTGGTTGAATTACTGAAGACCTCATTCTATATAGGTTGCTAAATAAATAAGCCACAAAATATCCCTCAAAAAGGAACATAAACTGTTGGGAGCAGTACAGACACAATTAATAAATACAGATAATACAGGTGCCATCATACACAAAGTAGGCCATTGGGTGGAATTCAGTGTCGTGTTATTATAATAGTTCCATTTGTGCAACCAGTTCGGTTTTCTGCATTATTTCTTTTGGCAATAGGAAAGAGTATCTGTGCTGTAAGGCCATTGCTTTGATAAAATCATTATTTCACAGCAAGCTACTTGGACGCCAGCAAAATAGACATAGACTAAGCACTTTGATCCTGCTGTAACCAACCGTCACTTGACCTGGCCAAGTTGCAGCATGCCTTGCTGCTTGGGCGGCAGCCAGGGGGGAGAGTTTCTGTTTTTGGTGTATTTAATTCTAAAGGAAATCCACAGTGACACAGATTTTAGAGTTGCTGTGTCAGCTGCTACTGCTGCTTTCCAGACTAGCTGATGAGAAGCAATTTGATGGAAACCTATCTGACTGGGAGTGATAGCAAACTGTCAAAGAACCTTTAGAGTAATTCACTGCAAAAAAAACCAGACATCTTTTGGGAGTACAGCAAGCCTAAGAAGTAGGGGATCTAGGTAGGGGATCTAGTTGGTAAGAAGCATTTTTATGCTGTTCCATATAAGAGTAAACTGATACCTTCCTCAGTTCCCCTGTGCTGAACCAAACTTGCTGGTAGACCCAATTATAAAAGCCTTTAGGCCACAGAAAGGTTCTATATTTTTAACAATGGTAATTCATATGGCATTCTTATGTACAAAATCTCTTAAATCTTTATTGCATTCATCTCGCAGAGTTAATATTACTAATTCAAAAAACTCTCTTAAAGTGCCAAATCTCTTACTATCTTTATTACAGACATAAAAGCTGAGAGTTTGTAATAACACAGTGCATTTACAAAGCACACTTCAAAGCGTTTCACATTTGTTTATCTCTATAATCCTTAACAAACTAGGTCAGAATAATTAATTGTCTCCATATTGCAGATGGGAGTGTGGAAACTGAGCAAATAATAATGGCTTGTTAAAAAGGACTTGAATCTATAGATTTCTCAGGTTCATCCCTGTCATGGCAGCCACTCGTCAGCAATACCTCCAGAGAGATCCAGTTTCATGTGTGCGTTTTAAGCTGATTTTCTGCCTGCAGCATAAAGCCACCCACCCATTGACTCTTCTTCAAATCATGCTAAGCCATGCGATGCAGCTGAATCATGGTGCAGAAGGCACAGAGTGAGGGCTACCTAAGGGCCAGTTTCAGTCTGGGCACACTCTTTCCAGATTATACCCGATACTGGCTGCATTCTTTCCACAGCTTTATAGTTAGCAGACCACAGCAGAAACTATGCACCTTAGCTCACTTGAAACCCCTTCTCTTGGCTCCATAAAAAGAGCGGTCTTTATCTATGCTATGAATTTTTTGCTGAAAATCTCCCACAAGTGTGAGACTCATGGCTGCTAAGTAATATTCCTCATAAATCCCAGCTAATTTATTCAGGAATGGCAATCTGCAGGGCTATTCACAGGAGGGTATGGGTTTTACCAACTCCAGCATTTGCAGTGTGGGAAAAACACAGCAAATGCCTTGCTTACCTTAGGCAGTCGCCCATTTGTTTCACTACAAAAGAATGCATCCCTTAAAAGGCTTGGCTTCACCTCATCAGCTTCCTGCTGGGACAGCTGCCCTATTCCCCCTCCTGATCCCAGGCTGCAAATTAAGCCCTAGGACACCAAGTATTGTTCAGTTCAGTGGGGTTCCTCTTCCTAAAGTGGGGTGTGGCCAGGCTTTGAGAACTTCCAAAAGATTCACCCTTCCTGCTGTTTTTCTTCCAAGCCTTATTTACAATGCATGGCGAAATGCAGACGTTGGTTGGTGGTGATGAAGTGAGTCCTTTAGCCAGCCTCTGTCAGTTAAAAATGCTGATGAGACCACAGGCAACTTAACTTAACCATGCTAATTATGGGGGGCCTTTTAAGATAACATGCAACTGGGATGGTCCTTCACTTCTCCCAGAAGCCTGGGGGGCATTCCCCCCCTTATAAACAAAATTCAAGGAACAGGTAATTATACTATGATGCATTCAAATAATAAAAGATTAGTCTGCTCGTTATCTTACCATTTTTATTTCATGTACCTACACAAAACACTAAGGAACTAACTTGGGTGTTTTCATTTCACCCCAACTGTTAAGTCGTGGGTTGACATAGCAGCCGGCACAGCGATTTCTTCAAGTAGCTCTTTATTATGGTAAGCTGGAATACAACTGACTGCGACAGCTCAGCTGGCCTGTATTTATAGGCAGCCGGCTGTCAACATTGTAACCACAACAGCCCAGAGTTCCCGCCTAAAATAACTGCCGCGGACCTGAGTGAAAACTATCTACAGACCTGAGTGAAAACTATATACAGTATCCCCCTGTTGGACCAGGGTGAAACTACACTACATAACACCCCTCCCCACCGAGATAAGGCGTTAGTTACAATCGTAATGGTTTCCTTATATACAGCACTACGCGTAATGGTTCCATTAAGCACAAAAGCATATCGGTTACATTTCCCATACTTAGACCAACAGTGATACCTGTCTAACAACATAGTCCTTTAAATAAGTTGGGCGCTTGGAAACTCTGCCAGACCGCCGGGAACTGGTAGCCAAGTCCGGAGGGCCACACAGTTCTCGCTGAGGCTGTGGTGCGACCCTAGGTGGCGTTGGAACCAACTCCCCTGGATCCGCTGCTGTGGGTGGAGCCTCCGCAAGTGGAGTGGTCTGAGTCTGTTCTGAAACGGCTTGGTTCGGCTCCACGCTGGCAGTTTGCGAGGGAGGTGTAGGTGGGGCCTCGCCATCTGTACGTGTCTCTTCTGGAGCCGCAAGCGCAGTTGGGGGCACCTCGGTAGTGTCCAAGTCCCCAACCCTGCGCCTAAGCTGGTCTATGTGCCGTCGCCACAAGCGTCCGTCTTCGAGTGCCACCTGGTACGAGCGAGGTCCAGTGACTCCCACTACTGTGGCTGGCACCCAAGGGATGTCCCCCACATAGTTCCGGGCAAAGACCTGGTTTCCTGGGACAAATGACCGTGGTGCGTTGGCACAGCCTGGGGGTTCAGCCACGGCAAAGTCTGGGTGTAGCCGGTCGAGCGGTGACCTGAGGCGGCGGCCCATAAGCAGTTCAGCAGGACTCCTCCCTGTGGCCGCATGAGGGGTGATGTGTTGCACGAACAAGTATTCGGCGACCCGCTCATGCCAGTCTCCCCGGTCCAGGCACGCCAGTGCCTCTTTTGTCGAGCGCACCATTCTTTCCGCTTGCCCGTTGCTGGATGGATGAAAGGGTGCCGTTAGGGCATGGCGGATGCCCAGTCCCAAAAGATACCGCTCAAACGTGCCTGACGTGAACTGCGGTCCGTTGTCAGAGACAAGGACATCAGGACACCCATGCGTTGCAAACAGGCCTCGCAGCACCCGGATGACAGCTTCGGTAGTGGTGGAGGGCATCAGTGCGACCTCCAGCCATTTGGAATAGGCGTCCACCACTACCATAAAGGTCCGGCCGTGAAAGGGGCCAGCCAGATCGATGTGCACCCTCGACCAGGGTGTCTTTGGCGTCTCCCAGGTGTGTCCCTTAGCTGCCGGTGGTGCAGGCCTCGACTCCTGGCACGCTTGACAGGCGGACACCCAGGCAGTGATGGCATCGTCCATATTAGGCCACCAGACGTAACACCGAGCCAACGCCTTCATTTTGACAATTCCCGGGTGGCCAACGTGCAGAGCCTCCAGGACGCGCTGACGGAGTCCCTGGGGAATCACGACGCGGTCTCCCCACAGCAGGCAGCCACGATGAGCTGAGAGTTCATGTTGTCTGGTTGCGAAGGGCTGGAACTCCGATGCAAAAGGCCCTTGTGGCCACCCCCTCCACACCCAGTTGAGCACCCGGCTGATGGTGCGATCCTGGGCAGATGCGGAGGCCACAGTGGCAGCCGATACAGGCGCTGCCGGAAGATCCTCAATCAGAAGGAGCGATGAAGCTGGAGCCGGGTCTTCCACAAATGCTGGAAGAGGGCAACGGCTGAGGGCGTCGGCATGGCCCATCGATTTCCCCGGGCGATGGATGAGCCGGTAGTGGTAGGCAGCCAGGAAAACAGTCCATCGCAGCATGCGTGGTGAGAGGACCGGTGGAGTTGGACGATCACCGGCGAGGAGGCCCAGGAGTGGCTTGTGGTCAGTGATGAGGTCAAAAGTCCTGCCATAGAGGTATTCATGGAACCTCTTCACTCCAGCCACAAGTGCCAATGCCTCCTTGTCGAGCTGGCTGTAATTCCGTTCCGTCGGAGATAGTGTCCTGGAAAAGTAAGCGAGCGGTGCTTCTCTTCCATCTGGAAAACGGTGACTAAGGACAGCACCGATGCCAAAAGGTGAGGCGTCGCAGGCAAGGACCAGCGGCCTGGATTCACTGTACTGTACCAGCACACTGTCTGAAGAAAGGAGAGCCTTGACCGCGTTGAAGGCCGCCGTCTCCCGATGACCCCAGGCCCAAGGCGTCTTAGTGCTAAGGAGTCGGTGAAGAGGCTCAGCCACTGTGGCTTTGTGGGGCAGGAACATGTTATAAAAGTTCAGCAGCCCCAGGAATGCCTGCAACTCCGTTTTGTTCTTTGGGGTGGGGGCCTGCTGGATAGCGCGGATCTTGGATGTGGTTGGATGAAGACCGGAGGCATCGATAAGATAGCCCAGGAACTCTACCTGTGGAACGGCGATCTGGCACTTCTCCCTCTTTACCTTGAGCCCGGCCTCCTGGAACCTGGTCAGCACGGCACGGAGGCGCTCGAACAGCTGCTGGTGTGAGTCTGCAGACACCAAGACGTCATCAAAATATGGTACCACGCCCGGAAGCCCTTGCAGGAGACGCTCCATAAGGCTTTGGAAGATGCCAGGAGCCACACTCACCCCGAACTGCAACCGGCGGCAACGGAAAGCCCCCCGGTGGGTGACGATCGTCTGGGCTTCAGCAGTGGCATCATCGACTGGCAGTTGTTGATAGGCTTGGGCAAGGTCCAGCTTAGCGAAGACCTTACCCTCACCCAGGGAATGCAGCAGGTGTTGGACAACAGGAACCGGATAAGCGTGCTGCTGAAGTGCCTTGTTGATCGTGCACTTGTAGTCAGCGCAGATTCTCACCGACCCATCTGGCTTGACAGGCGTGACGATGGGGGTTTCCCACTTTGCGTGGTCAACCGGCTCCAAAACTCCTTGGGCGATCAGTTTGTCCAGTTGTTCGTCCACCTTAGCCTTGAGAGCAAAGGGAACCCGGCGTGGCTTTAGCTTGATGGGGGCGACTTGTGGATCAAGGCTAAAGGAGATGGGCGTACCTGTATATTGGCCCAAGGTGCCGTCAAAAACCTCGGCAAAGTCTTTGACCAGACCCTCAGTCTCTGCGTTAGAGATGCAGTTGATGCCGGTGACTTCCAGGCCGAGGGCATCAAACCAGTCTAGCCCTAGGAGGCTTGGCCGCTGACCTTCGACCACCACCAACCGGAGCAGGCCCGAAAAATCCTTGAAAGCGATCCGGAACCGGCCAACGCCTACCACGGGAATGTCGTTTCCCTGGTAGTCTCCCAGGTGTACGCGGTGAGAGTCGAGTTGCCTTTTGGACACTCTGGGTACCAGTCTTTTGATGGTGCTCCATGACACGATGGACAGGGCAGACCCGGTGTCGATCTCCATGTCACATGGAGCTCCTTCAATGAGCACCGTGACGTTCAGCTTGCGTCGCGTAGGCGAGTCGGTTTGGCCAATCGTGGTTCCAGACGGGCAGCGGCAGTTGGTGAGAGCGAAACAACTTTCCTTGGCAGACTGGAGTGAAGACTTGGACTTGCGAGTCGATGAAGGGGGGGTGTCAGACGGAGCCGATCGGCAGACCTTAGCGATGTGGCCCCTTCTGGAACACTTCCTACAGATGGCGTCTCTGAATCGACACTTGGCACGGGAATGGTTGCCTCCGCAGCCAGCACATTCCGGTTGGCCCTTGGACTTCTGTTGGAACTTCCTGCGCTCCCGCTTTGTCTGGTGCACGTCATCGTCTTCACTGGAGGATGCCTCATCACTGCTGGCCTCTTCATGATGCACTGGAACTGGCTCCCTAGCAAGACGCGGGCTGCTGGACTTGCGGATCTCCTGGGCGGAGCGTTCAGCAGCTTCTGAGGCCACAGCCTCCTCAATGGCTTTCTGTAGCGTGAGGTCTGGCTTGGCTAGGAGGCGCCGTTGCAGATGGATGTCCCGGACCCCGCAGACGATTCGATCCATCAGGGCATCGTCTAAGTCTCGGAACTCACAGTGCATTGCAGCCTGTCGCAGGGCGGTGGTGTAGTTGTTGATTGACTCCCCCTCTGCCTGGTTCCGGTGGTAGAACGCATGGCGGGCAGCAATCTTGGACGGCTTTGGTGCGTAGTGGTTGCGGAGCTTCTCTTGGATCGTGTCCCATGGTGTTGCCTGGACTGCTTCAGGCGCAACCAACGCTCGGGCCGTCTCAAACACCTCAGGCCCACAGAGGCTGAGGAATAGGCCCTGCTTCCGATCCTTTGATACTGCTGTCAGCTCGTTGGCTTGGAGGTAGCAGTCGAACCGAGCGAGGTAGGAGTCCCACGATTCAGAGGCTGGCGCAAACGGCGGTAGAGGCACAAGTGAAGCCATGATTCCGATGCCGGCGTGAAGGGCGATGGATGGAACACAGTGCTCTAGCCAGAACAGTCAGCTCTGAATTGGTTCTGCCCAGTGATTTCGCTCAGTGATTTCGCTCTGTGATTCAGCTCAGTGATTCAGCTCAGTTCAGAGGCTGGCCGCATCTGGCTGTGCTCTGATGTCCATCAATCCCATCCTCGTCGCCAGTGTTAAGTCGTGGGTTGACATAGCAGCCGGCACAGCGATTTCTTCAAGTAGCTCTTTATTTTTTTTATTTTTTTTTTCAAGTTCAAAGGACTTTATTCGAAATCCAAAATAGTCAAAAAGACACCCATAGGGATGAAACACGTTTTAAAGCAGGATCATTGTACATAGCAGGACACATTTAAAAATAAGGCCACTCCGTACAAAACCAGAGGCTGTCCAAAAACAAAGTCTTAGGAGGAAGAGGAGGATCTCAAGAAGGGAACTGGAGCTCGGGCACTAAACCACTTCCAAACTGGGAGAAAAATATTCAGCAGAAGGAAAATCGCTATGCAAACAGTGCATTTGTCGATAAAAGAGAAAGATGCACTTCAAAACAAAGCACAAGTTTTTGTTTTTGTTTTTTAAAGGCAGGCAGCTGTTTGCACTGCAATCCTTCCTAGGCAGAAATGCCCTGACTGTGGGACTGTGCTAAAATTGTTGAGAGTCTCTGGGATCCTGAAAGCACAGACCCTTTTCTGCTTGGAGATCTGCCCTATTGCCTCCCGTTGATCAGCTGTGACGGACTAGAAGGGAAGAAAGAATGTCTGGCACAGAGAAAACCGGCAGGATTATTTTCCTGTTAAAAAGGCTTGCAGAGAATTCCAACTGGGGTCTCTCTCCCCAGAAAAACAAAAAACACGTACGTGGCACACTGGAAAACAACTTACAAGCAGCCAGTCCACAGTTGCACCACACTTAATTGAAGACAACTTTTGGTCAATGGTGGTGGTGGTGGGGGAGGTCATAGGTCAGCGTTAATTCTTGGGAGGGGATGTTGGCGGAGGGATGGAGAGGAATTAAAAGTTGCTGGAGCCTTTTCGTCCTGGATTCTGGCCACTCTCTTCTCTGTGGCAACTTCCCAAGTAAATCAACAAACACTTTTGCCCCAAAGGTATCAGTCCAAGTCTCCCAATTGTGTGTAAAGCACAATTCGTCTCACCCCACCAACCCCAGCATTTGGAAGCTCATTTGAGGTCAACTGCTTGTTAAGTCCAGCTCCTCCTCCTCCTCAGTGGCACGACAACCCAGCCCCACTGTTGCCAGGATTGGGTGTTGTTCAGTAAGGGGTGAGCAGCTGGTCTGGAGGGCTCCGATGTCAGCCCCCGCCTCTGCTCAGATAAATCTCGTGACCTCTTCCTGGAGAGAAGGGTCCTCTGCTCCGAGGTCACCAGCCGCCTCCTCTTGCAGCGGTAGAGACGGGGCTGGCACCTCCTGGTCTCCTTCTCCTCCATCCTCTTTCAGGCGCTTTGCTTTCTGGTCACAGGAAAGGGGCTCGGCCTGCCGCTGATGGGCACCTTGCTTGCCCTTCAGGACCTCCTCAAGGCCTGCTGCCAAGACCATCTTCTGCTGGGCACACCTGGTCAAATCGGCCGCCAGCTCAGTTGCCTCCTGGGACATGGCTTCTATCTTTACCCTCAGCTGAGCTATGTTGGTCCTGACCGTCTCCAGTATACCATTCTCCTTCTCATCGTCGTCATCGTCATCCTCCTCCTCCTCCTCGTCATCCTCCTCCTCGTCCAACGTGTCATCCTGGATCTTCAGCTGGGCTTCCAGCTCCGCCAGCCTCTCCTCCTCGGCCTCCATGTCACGGCGGGTCTCCTCACACCCCACACAAACATCTGTCACCTTCATCTGAAGCTTGTCTAGAAGGGATAAGTGGTCCTGGATTTTTTTCAAGTTCTTCTCAAGGAGGTTAACTGACTGCATGCTGTCTGCACACCCGTCCGCCATCTGACTCCTGCTGTAACCGGCCTCTTCAAGTAGCTCTTTATTATGGTAAGCTGGAATACAACTGACTGCGACAGCTCAGCCGGCCTGTATTTATAGGCAGCCGGCTGTCAACATTGTAACCACAACAGCCCAGAGTTCCCGCCTAAAATAACTGCCGCGGACCTGAGTGAAAACTATCTACAGACCTGAGTGAAAACTATATACAGTATCCCCCTGTTGGCCCAGGGTGAAACTACACTACATAACACCAACATCCTTTAATCCCTGGCTCTTTCTTCATTGTTCAATTTGCTTGCTTAACTTCCCGCCTGATGAAAAGTTTTGATGGATTCGGAAGCTTCTTGCTGCTTTGTGATTTTTTAGTGGATTGTGCTTTTGTTACTGTCCATAAGTAACGGCATTACCTGTCTTGTGCTTTTATCTGTGCTTTGTGGCTGGTGTGTGTGTGTGTGTGTGTGTGTGTGCGCGCGCGCGCGCTTTCATAAGCCACCCTGGTAAGATATAAACTATAGAAGCAAGCAAGCCAACAAACTCTTTATTTTTCATAGGTATATGACATGTCATCTATGGGGAAACAGAATGAAGATGATTTCTGGATCTCATTTTTCTTTATTTGTTCATTCAGTTTGCAAGCACATGTACATTCACATTCCCTTTCCACTCAGTCACAAAGTTGCACCTTAAGATTTTCACTAAAGGTGAGTGCCTTGAGTCTCACTTCACACACAACAGCAGAAAAGAAGGGAATTACACAGAGTGAGTCAAGGAACACACGAACCAACTCTTAAGTTAGGCACAGTGACTTGCTTGAGGGAGGGCAGCCACCAAGTCTACCCATTTCACAGGTGGGGACACCTGGGACCTGGTGTTTCAGTACCCCCTCCCTATCAGCTTCATCTGCTTCTTAATTGTCAACGAATATGGCACATTTCAAGTGGTGTGGTGGATCAAGGAGACAGTAGAATCAGGTCTGGGGCAGAATTGATAGCATTTTTAAGATCAGGTGACTGGGCCAGAGGTGGTAACACTGTGATCAGAAGGGGAATGGAGGCAGCCAGTCAGTGTGACTCAGCTTGGTTTAAGACAGGTATCGAAAGCCTGTATGTGGTGTGGGGATGGATGTGGCTCAAATAGGAGGAGGAGGAGGAGTCCAAAGTTCAGTTTATAGCAGGAGAAGGAAGGTGGGTGTTGGTGAAAATCTTTGGCTGAATTGGACTTGAGCTCAGCATTCAATAATCACCCCAGTGGACAGCACTGATTCAGGCCACGGAGTACAGACCGCCTCCTCAAATGTTGCGAGAGGCCCACAGGCAACAAGCTCCTCCTTCTGTACAATTTGTAGCGTGGCTTTGATTCCAGTAAGGATAAGGCCGGAGGCGAGGATGTCGGAAAGCCATCTCATCCTGCTCCCGGGGCCTCCTAAATGAAACCTGCTGAATCATGTAAACTGCAGTCCCTCCTGCGCTAGACAAAAAGTTCCCAGCACAATGATAAGTGCAGTATTGTTTTGCCCTTGTGAAGGTCCATTGTGCAAGCGGGTGAAGAAAGGGGTGGGGGGAGGAGGGAAATGATTCAAGCTCAACCCTGAGACAAGTCTCATCCTTTGCATCATGTGATGCTGGTTCCCAGGCTGACACTGTGCCCTTTGCGCTGTGTGTGAGAGCGCTTGCAATGCTCTAAACTGGTCTAACCAGTCTTAGAAGGGAAAGATCAGCTGCAGGGCCCTGTCTCTTCTTCCACCGACACCACCACCCCACGTGAGGCTGTGTTGTGAACCTGAAGTGCTGCATGAGAGGGTTTTTTTCCCTTTGTCCCTCTGACTGAGGATCATCGGGTGTGTGAAATCTGGCTCCCAAACAAGTTTCGCCACATGTCACCAAGCCAGGCTTTTCTTTCCCATGAGATAATCCTGGGCGGGGCAGGCAATCTATTAAAATCGAAACACAATGAAAATGAAGGGCTTCCCAGGAGTTACTGTAAATCTCCCTTGCTGGGTTTTCTCAAGAAGAACTGGGAATATGAAGGCGATACTGGGGTTTTTGGCAAAGAGGATAAACCTATTAAATGCCTATATCCAATCACATGTTGGGGCATGGTGAAGAACTCCCAAAGTAAGAGCAGTCAGCAGCCCCCTGGTGGGCAGAGCAATCCTAATTCCCCTTATGCTCAGCTAGGGGGAGTTGGATTGAGTAGACGTTTCTCACTGCTCAGCCATCCTCCCATTGGCTGCCAGTTATCTGGGCTTGTGTGCATGCACACTTCTTCAGATACGTGCATGCACATGAAAGCTTATACCAAGAACAAACTTAGTTGGTCTCTAAGGTGCTACTGGACAAGTTTTTTATTTTTTGTATATTTTGACTGCGTCAGACCAACATGGCTACCTACCTGAATCTGTATACGGCAGTTTCCTATATTCCGGTGTTCCTACAGCTATTTCACACATTGCATGGTAGTCAGTTTTGCCACCTGTACACAGGTGTTTAGCCTTAGGTGGTTGTCAATGGGTGCTGTTTGCTAGGTGAAACAATCTGAAGAAGTGTGCATGCACACGAAAGCTCATACCAGTAACAAACTTAGTTGGTCTCTAAGGTGCTACTGGAAGGAATTTTTTTGTTTGTTTGTTTCAACTACGTCAGACCAACACGGCTACCTACCTGTAATCAGCAGCCACTATGTGGTGCACAAGGGAAACAGAATTCCCATCTTTACCTTTTGGGAAAGGAGATATGGAATGCCTCAGTCAGGACCAGGTGGTTTCTGAATGAATAGTTGCCCCTGGTGTAGGTTGCTAAAGTCTTCAGGGACAATGATGCAAGTTGACAACCATGGTCCTAGAAGAGGAACTGTGAGGCCCTGTCTTCGTTTTTATCCACCAATGTTCCCATCACCTAGTGGTGAATGAAAGGGATCACCACCTTCATCAGATACCACTGGTTTTAACACCCATCCTTATAAAACATGAATGGAGAAACCCATCTGTAAATGCACATTGGACAGACACAAGGTCAGTGAGAAGTTCTCAAGGGTTTAGAGAAGCATACCCTCTCTTCATTTTGTGTGTGCATAGGTGACAATGCAGGTGTTTGTGGGCAGCAAATGCAACTACCACACAGAGTGTCGATTGTTCCTCAAACAAAGAATCAAGCAAAACAGGAAGATCTTAAATTTGGGCAGAACATTATAAACTAGAAAGGTGAAGTGACTTCTATGAACATCATTCACCACCAATTGCAAAGATATTTAAGATGCCTAACTTCCTTTAAACTCTAGGTAACTTAATCAAAGTTCATATCAGACAGCACCCACAGGAATGCTTCCCTGAGAACACAGAGCAGAAAGCGGTGAGGAAAAAATGAACAAAACAGATATATTTCTATACTTCCTAACCTAATTTAAATAATCATAGCAGTGGCATAGGACATATTTTGGACGGGGTACGAGATACACTGGCTATTCAGTTATCATGGAGTTTCACTTTATTGAAATGGAGAACTTACCATGAGAAATTGTGGAAGAAATATAGCAGGTGAGGCAATACCTAGGGGCATTGCTGGGTTAGTTTGTGGGACAAGTTTAAACTAAAAGTTTCTCCTCCTATGCTCACTGAAAGTCACATCTGGCTGGAGAGGAGTGTGTGTCTGACTGTGTCCCACACTTGAGGTAGAGGCAGGAGCATTTTGCAATCAGGCTTGTAGTTCTCCAATCTCTAAGTATGGTCAGAAGGACTGTCTGAACTGTGCTTTCACCTTACCACCCGCCACCTCCATGAGTCGACAGGTGCCTCAGGCAGTACAATGACGCACCACACACCTGAGATCATCATTTTCATGGGAATAGACTCCTGAGAGAAGAGAAAGAGTTGGTGAGACTCTCCCAGGGCTTCACTCACAGTCAGCACTCACAGTGCAGATTTCACATGATACTTCAAAAGCCTTTAATAACCGCAAGGGATCTATGTTTAAAAACCTTCCAGAACTGTGCCAGGAGGAAATGCAGTCAATTAGGGGACAAACGTTTCACACCTCTTCAAATGAATTAACTGCATTCAGAGAGAGAGAGAGAGGAAATGTTTCTGTAAGACATAAACCAAATAATTCCAGACACTTATTGAAATTCAATACAGTTGGATTAGGTGCTTAATGCTGTACAGTTGAGGAGGCCATTGTGTTCCGTAGGTCTTGGTTAATCATTATGCAAGGTGTATTAGGGTTTCTCAATTTAGGAAGCATTTTGAAGGGAATAAACATTCATCCGACCACCTCAATCCTGATGCTCCCAGGAATGCGCCTGCCAATCAACAACTCCACCCAGCAACTAGATCTGTGCATGGCAAGAATTTCACTTGGAGCCTGCAAGAAAAGGTACCATATTTTTTGCTCTATAAGACTCACTTTTTCCCTCCTAAAAAGTAAGGGGAAATGTGTGTGCGTCTTATGGAGCGAATGCAGGCTGCGCAGCTATCCCAGAAGCCAGAATAGCAAGAGGGATTGCTGCTTTCACTGCGCAGCGATCCCTCTTGCTGTTTTGGCTTCTGAGATTCAGAATATTTTTCCTCTTGTTTTCCTCCTCCAAAAACTAGGTGCGTCTTGTGCACTCGATACCAGCATAGTTAACAAACATAGTCAAAAAAACCTATTAGAGGCAAGAATGCCTCCTTCAAAAAATGGAAGTCTTGTTCAAATGAAGAGAACAAAAAGGAACACAAACCTTGGCCGAAAAAGGAAGTGCAGGCAGACAGTAAGGGATGCTAAAAAAGAACATGAGAGGCACCATGGGCGTAGCCAAGGGGGGCAAGAAGGGGCAGCTGCCCCCCTAAATCAGTAATAATAACAAAAAAATAATAACAAAAATCCTGGCTACGCCCATGTGAGGCACATGCAATAAACCTCAGGAGGCGAGAGAAGTACTGTGCTCAGGCCTTGCTTGCAAGTTTCCCACAAGCATCTGGTAGACACCATAGGAGCCAACTCCTAGTGACTGAGGTCCCTTCAGCACCCCCAAATAAAATAATTGA